GTTTTGAAAATAATAATAGAAAATGATAAAAACTTCAAAAATTAAAATCCTTCGAGATGTAGTTACGTTACTAGATCTACTAGTTAGGAAAATTAAAAAACATAAATTTGGACATGTTTTGCAAAAACGTGTGATGAAAAAGTAAAACGACTATATCTTTTGCATACAATGTCGAAAAAAAACGAATATATCAAAATGTTCAGCACAAAAATCTGCATCCGATTTTGACTGCCATAGGCCGTTTTGCAATCTTTTAGAATCCTCAAATTCTAAAAGGAAAAAAAGTTATGCTCAAATTTTAGTTTTTTTGAATTTTGGTCAAACTGTGGTCAAACTACTTATTCAAGAAATATTAGTGTTTGTAAATACTTATTCAAAAATATTAGTGTTACTAAATAATTATTTCAGTTTTTTTGAATTTTGGTCAAATCTGATCAAACTGTGGTCAAACTTGATCAAACTACTTATTCAAGAAGGGTTAATTATCCTTTTGCCCTTAGTGGTGTCCATCTGCTCAGTTTTGCCCTCAGATGGAAATTGTGCTCTGTTTTGCCCCTAGTCCGTGCGCACCGACTCGTTCTGTGAACTTTGGCGTCTTCGTCAGGTCAACGTTTTGACTCGGCCTTACAAGTGGGACTAGGCGGCAGAGGCGGCCAATTTTATTCAGACGTTGCACGTGTGGCTTGCGGGACCCAGCAGAGAGCCGTTGAGCATAGAGCCGTTGCGAGTGTGCTATATTAGCGGGCGACAGCGGCGGTGACCACGGCGACAGAGAGCACGGCGCTGACCACGGCGAGAGAGCGAGAGCACGACGGCGGTGGGAAGCTAGTTGTGGAGGGCGCGGCGGTGGGAAGCTAGCTGTGGAGGGCGCGGCGGCGTTGAGATCCCGTTCGGCTCCGAGCTCCATGTCTTCCGCAAGCTCCCGCACCACCTCGCTGATGCAGAGCCGGGCGCGTGTGGACATGCCTGTCTTCGTCTGTCCGTGGTGCCGGGCGAGCGTTGATCGGAGGGTTTCTCACGCACCGAGGAACCACAATCGTCCGTTCTACGTGTGCAGCGAGAATGGGGTAAGAATCGGGGCAATTGCATCATTTTCGTTGTCGGGATCTTTGAGCAATCGGCTGATCTATTCCGTGTTCATGCAGGTGACATGCTTCTTTCTTTGCGTCGATGCTCTGGCCAAGACTCTGATAAATGAACTGCAAGAAGAGCATGGCGAATGGTTGCGCATGATGCCCCAAACCGCAGTGGCCGCAGGACGAGCTCCTGAAGAAGAGATGGAGGGCGAAGCACGCACTGACAGAGAGCTAGCTGTTGAGCATAGGATGTTGAAGAAGAAGGTTAGGAAGCTTGAAGATCAAGCACTACCAATACCCATTTGCAAATACTTTTGGGCATTTGTAGGTATGGTAATCGCACTGGTTGTAATGTTGAAAATGTATGGAAAGGCATCAATTATGGAGGAATTTGTAATCTTGAAATTGTATGAGAAATTCACCTAGTTTAAATGTTGGTCAAAGTTGTTTAAATGTTGAAAAAAAGAGAAGAAGTGACCAACATTTAAATATGTTGAAAAAAAGGAGAAGAAATGAAGAATTCAGAAACTTTTGATCAATGAAATGCAGCTGATGAATTATTCCAGAGCCAAACAATTAAGGTTAGAATTTTTTTGGAGCTGTTAAATATTTAATAGCAATTTAAGTAATCCAATTCAAATACACCGTGATTTAAATCAAAGACCAAAATATCATGGAAAATGTGCCTCAGCTCTGGTAGATGTTTACACCTAGTGCCAAAATAAATGAATATTTTTTAAGGGCATTACATTCGGTAGAAACTAATTTCTCTAAAAAATGAAGGGTGGAAAATGCACAAAAAATTGGTGCGGCTGGGGACTAGAACCCAAGACCGCGTGGGTTTGTGGTGTTTAGGGCTGCGCTGGTAACCGCTAGGACAGATGGCAAGAGTTTGACATGGGTAGGGAATCAATGTATACATAGTGAGACTGTGAAATTTGTCAAAAAAAATGAAGGGTGAATAAATGCACAAAAAATTGGTGCGGCTGGGGACTCGAACCCAAGACCGCGTGGGTTTGTGGTGTTTCGGGCTGCGCTGGTAACCGCTAGGACAGATGGCAAGAGTTTGACATTGATAGGGAAGAAATGTATACATATTGAGACTGTGAAATTTGTCAAAAAAAATGTGAGACCGTGAATGTTTGCACACGCGTGAGAGTGGTTTTCCTTTGTTTTGCACTGAAATTTTGGAGGGTTGGAAGGTTGAAAACATATGTTTGCACTGCCACGTGGTTTTGGTTAGAGTGGCACTTGGTTTAGTGTTAGAGTGGCACTTGGTTTAGGATTTAAACGGAATAAATTTGCATGTTAGTTCATGACTTTTTTTTGAATAAAATGGAGGGCTTCTCACCCCCTCTTCTGAATGACAACCACAAGTTCTCGAGCTTCATGACTTGGTTTAGGGAAGAAATTATATGCTTGGGCACAGACATTTTTTAACACACATAATAAACCCTAATAAATAACTTAGATAAGATGCAATACAAGTACCATTACAATAATAAGTTCACGGACAGTTCACGGACACATGACGAAACATGACACGACATGACACGATATAGAAATGCAACAAATAAAAAATGAATCAGTCTTCATCTTGATCTCCTCCTTCCACTTTGGCCGTGCGCGCCCCTTCAACACCGTCTTCATCTTCACACCTCCTCCTCGTCGTCGTAGTAGGGAAGGGAGTGCATCCCGGATGGAGTGGGGAAGATGTTCTCGTAGTTGATGTAGATGTTGTAGACGGTGAAGAAGATGGCCTCGCAGCCGCACCAAAAGACTTGGCCGAGGAGCTTGCGCGCGTCAAACGGGTTGGTGAAGGTGACCGTGAGCAGTAGGAGGATGCCGCCACGGTCACGAACCTCGTTGAGGGTGAACATCCTCGGCGAGCCCCGTGGGAGGTGGGCATAGCCGGCTCTAAGGAAGGCGCGGGTGAGTTCGACGGAACCCCTCCACCTTGAAAAAGCCCACACGCGGAGCTCCCTCTCCACGAGCACGCCCGGTGGGTAGCGCCGCTCCGGCACGACAGGCGGACGGCTGAAGGTCGGCCCGTTGAACTGCATGGTCTCGCTTGGGGAGGGCTTGGTCGATTGGGTGTTTGAAGTGTTGGAAATATGCCCTAGAGGCAATAATAAATAAGTTATTATTATATTTCCTTGTTCATAATAATCGTTTATTATCCATGCTATAATTGTATTGATAGGAAACTCAGATACATGTGTGGATATATAGACAACACCATGTCCCTAGTAAGCCTCTAATTGACTAGCTCGTTGATCAATAGATGGTTACGATTTCCTGACCATGGACATTGGATGTCGTTGATAACGGGATCACATCATTAGGAGAACGATGTGATGGACAAGACCCAATCCTAAGCCTAGCACAAAGATCATAGTTCATATGCTAAAGCTTTTCTAATGTCAAGTATCATTTCCTTAGGCCATGAGATTGTGCAACTCCCGGATACCATAGGAATGCTTTGGGTGTACCAAACGTCACAACGTAACTGGGTGGCTATAAAGGTGCACTACAGGTATCTCCGAAAGTGTCTGTTGGGTTGGCACGAATCGAGACTGGGATTTGTCACTCCGGTAAACGGAGAGGTACCTCTAGGCCCACTCGGTAGGACATCATCATAATGTGCACAATGTGACCAAGGGGTTGATCACGTGATGATGTGTTACGGAACGAGTAAAGAGACTTGCCGGTAACGAGATTGAACAAGGTATCGGTATACCGACGATCGAAT